GTACGTACCAACTACAGTTATCATATTTATCCTTTTACAGTTGATGTTCCGAATTAAAAAATTCTAAAGTTTTTACAAGTAAACTATACAGTAGTTTTTAGGCTTGAAAGAGTTTTTTTCGGTGTTCGGAGTTAAATGGAGGAATAAAATGAAAGGAAGAGGAGGAAAAGTTATTCTCGCAGAACTTTTGACATAACATTTAATTTTAAGAAAAATTGTCAGGTTTACAAAAATATTAAAATCACATTTCGATAGATACTGAAAATTTCCAGTCGCTTTTCTAACAATCACAACAGTTTGTTATACAACAATAACAATAAATTTAGTCCTTTTTGAAGTGAATACAATCAGTTAATTAGAAATTTAACATTTAAACTGTATTTTTTAAGTTTTTTTCTAGATGATAAACTTAATAGCTCTGCTTGAAGATCGCGTTCAAAGTTTGAGTCTTCAAAATAAAATTTGTCTTGGTTAGCACTATAAAAATTATTATTGCAAATTGCAACACTACACCTCATTCCTGGCAATAGTTTATATTAAACACTACACCATTAACTTATTAAAAACTATTATCAATAACTAACTAATTACTGCAAAATACCCAAACAACTATGAAAGATTTACTACTTGGAAAAATGCAAAATTACTATACATATAGTTATATGACTAAATAAATAAGACCCGTGAAAAGGATAGGAAGAGCAGAATCACGAATGTACGAGAGCCACCTCACAATGGGCCTGGAAAACACTCCATCGTTAGCACTATTATGTATCGAAAACTGTAATACTAACTTGAACAGAAAAGTAATATTGTTATTAAAACCTATAGAGTTCGCTGAGAAAATTAAAAATTTGATGATATTACATGTATTCTTTCGTGCGGGAGCTGAACAAACTGGTTGCAATCGGTAACTAGCCAATCATAATACAGCATTTTTAAAATTCTTAATCATGATTGGTTCTTTACTGTTGATTTCAATCACTTTGTTCAATACGAAAGAATACGTGTAATGAAAATTAGGTCACAAAGGGGATGTGTTCTGTGAGTAGTTAGTAATGCTGTGGCCACTGTCATTCGTCATTCGTCTAAGAATAATCGAATGAATTTAGATGATCACTCGAGATATCTCGAGAGATTTTCATAATCGATATAATCGATAATTTTCATTCGAGTAGTCCCATCACTAGTTCTGTGGATTAGGTTTGAGGTTATTTCTTCTCTATGTTGTATTAACAGATTAGAAAGTGGTTGTATTATGACTAATTAACTCGTAAGTTACCGTGCTTTTGATAATAATATTGTTTTCTATTTTAGACTAAAATTTATTGTAACGCAAGAAGATAATTATAATTGTTGAATCGTTCATCTGAATTGTCTTAAAGCCGCTTTACAGTCGGCAATTCTTTCTGCAATGACTTGCAGCAAGCCCTTTCACTTGCAATACCTTTCCCGAAATTCTGATTCATGGTTTGTTTTACAGTTGTCAATTCGCAATTGCTATAGAAGTGATACCAACACTTCAAACCGAATTCACACTACACTAAACCTTTTATACAAATATAAAAATTACCACGTAACCATAACCTTTAAAATAAAAATTTCAGTCTCAGATACTTTTACAAGTCAGTCTAATTACAACCATTCTAAAGTGTCAGATAACACATTTGAATTTGATAGTTCTGCCTAGGAACTTTTATATAGGTGGTAGTGGTAACCATACAAATTACTAGTGATGGAAATAATCGAATGAATTAAATAATTGAGAGGTTACCGTTCGAATTAATTTTATAATCGAATGATCATTCGAATGATATATAATCGAAAGTTCACTTTGAAAATTTCCGGTCTATCCCAAATCATATGCGAAACATGTTGACGCTAGGTAAATGAATGACTGTCGCGGATTGGGGCATTTCTTCCATATTTCTTCGTTGCCAGTTGTGGTTCAGTAGCATGTGTTTAAAATGAGTAGTCGCCGCCTAAAGAGGTCCATTGTTTGGGATTTTTTTGAAAAAAAAAAATTATAGAAAACATAATTTGGTATTATTTTCATTCATATGAATTTTTATCCCCGCTAAATAAAGCTCCCATGTAACACCCCCGCGATGCCACTCATAAAATTCCTGCATACCTTTTTTTCTTGTATGTCGGTGCGGTGATATTCGATTGTCTCATCTATCCTCTCGGCCGTCTTATCTCGAGATGTTGTAGCTCGTTAGAACGTTGGAACAATCGAAACATCTGCGCACTCCCTCGAGTAGCGCAGGTGTTAGTAACGCTGTGGCCACTGTCAATACTGTCATTCGTATCCGAATAATCGAATGATTCTATATGACCACTCGAGATATCTCGAGAGATTTTCATAATCGATATAATCGATAATTTTCATTCGAGTAGTCCCATCACTACAAATTACTAAATTATTCCCCAAAATTGCAGAAAAGCTGCAATAAAAATCGAGCAAAACCGATATTCCAAAAGTGCAAGTCTCAGATAAGACAACTTTTGCAATACACTGCTGCTCAGTGCGCATGCCTACGTGCAAGAGACTTGCAACTTGCAGAAAGAATTGCAGACTGTAAAGCGGCTTTTACTGCTTTTGCTTGTTTTACTTTTTAATAGAAAATGTCTGGAATGATCTCACGTTACTGTTGTGCAGTTGTGCACCAAACTGCAAGAATACATATTATTTATATACCACAAATATTTCTTACAGAAATAAAAGCTTTTTCAGAGTTACTGCAGAGTGCGGACAGGAAAATGATTTGGATAGAATGTAAACCAAACCAGATTTTAACTTCATCAACGAAAAATGTTATTTTTGCGAAGACCACTTTGAATTAAAATGTTTTAGAAATAGTAGGAAGAATAGCCTCAACAAAAATGCAGTGCCAACAATATTTAGTGAATCAAATAGTATATCATCACATTTAGATTCTTTTAATAGTAACGTGTTTACTTGAAAACTACTCTAGAGTCAGTTAAACAGTTTGTTAGTGAAACATTAGAAAATGCCGAAATTAATAAATGCCAAACATCAATGTTAGATGATTTTCCAGAACCACCATTTAAAAAACCAAAATACAATTATTTCAAATTGCCATCTCTAAATACCACTGCAAGTACTAGTACTGTTATTGTTAACGATACCATGCCGGATCATTATTTATCTAGGTGACGGATGAAGTAGATTCAAATACTGGTTGTGTAAGTACTTCACATAATACTTCATTTTGTCAAAACTTCACTTGTATGTCGAATAGTAGACAACAAAAAACGGATTTTTGGATTTTTTAATGAATATTAAGTTTCTTTTTAAGTAATGGTAGATACATATGTCTACGTTTCTACTGATATTTGTTACTCATACTATCAGTATTTAAATTTTCTCAGAAAATAATAATCAGTAGTACATGCATCGTACTGATGAGAACCAATATAGTTTGAAACAAATGTATATAACAATATTTTTCATAAAGCGGGGAAAGGTAAATATATGTCTATTTTGTATCACAGTAATCACTATTAATTACTAGTAATTATCTTCTTTTCCTATTTATAACAGAATAAATTTAAGTACATGCATTTAAAAAACAACTGCTTATGCATTTTTTAGTCATTGTTTAAAAAGTGAAAACAATAATAGCCTCTTAATGGATATACTTACTAAAAAAGTCAATCTTTTATACCATTATTGTGTGTAACTTACATGAAATGAAATTCATGTAATTGACTACATAATTTTGTAAAAAAAATCTGGTCAATTTTTACATTAGAACTGATATTTTTTTACAAAGCTTTGTTTTGTAGTCAATGAATATGAATTTTATTCCATATATAAGTTGCACTGTGAATATTATAGAATATTTAAATTTGCCGCCAAGTGCAGCATAATAAAGCGACATCTATTGCACAGTTTTTGAACTACGTTCTCAAACCAAAGATGGTTAGCACGGTCACTGCAGTTTCTGTTTTTTATTCCAGCTGCTATTTGTTCACAGGCCGGATGTAAGATGGCGCCAGTTGCGTCTGGAGCAAGTGATGCTTCCAATGAAAAACAAGGAAATAAACACTTATTTAGTTACTCATATGCATATAGTTAAGTCACAGCTCATATTAAGCTGTGGTTAAGTCGCATGTAAACAAACATAAATCCTAAAGGTTAGACATCTTGTGACGTAGTATGAGATAAGCCACGCCCATAATTTCTGTCTATTACCAGTTGTCTCTGCTACTACTCGCGCCGCCATTATTCCATGGCTAGAAATTGGCCTCAATGATTTAGGATCGAGGGGAATTATCCCTCTTTATCCTGCCTCATCTCGTGTAGGCCTGGACAGCCTTCGTAGGTGGGTCCCATCCGTCGTCTACCCCGAACTCGACCGTCTTTTTTACGGACCGTGAATAACTATTAGAATGAAGCGAGGCGAGCGCCATCTGTTAAAGAGTGTCCAAAGTTGTAAATGTATTTTATTTTCTAACTTCTATGGGGTGTGTAATTTTCAGCTTTCGGCGGTCGGTGAATTCTTGATTTTCAAATATGATGCATTTAAATATTAAACCATTTCTAGACTGGAATTTTGTTAAGGTACCTTCAGAAAACCTCCAATTTCCTAACGACATATTTTAAATATTCGTTTTGATCTAAAAAAGTTTTTAGCCATAAAGTTTCTCAAAAATTTTATTTCTCATAAACTAGCGAATATTTTCTGACCATTACGTCATTAGGGGCACCAACAAATGCCAAACCCTTATACAACTTTTCATTTGCAATAAATTTAGCTCCTTTAAATTTATTATCGTCTTTGAAATAATTTGTTGTTGAAGCCATCTAGTTTCTCTCATCAGAAGTGGCCGTCTTTCGCGTCATATTAGCTATGTCCTATACCAGTTCAGTTTGGTACAACTCGCATTTCGATTTTTTGTTGGAAAAAAACCTTTTTTGTTATCAAAGCCGGAACAGTGTATCGTGGTGGATTTTCAATAAAACAAGCAAGGCAGTTTTTATAAATTTTTATTTTATAATTACAACAAATAAACCTAGCCACCACGGTCACTGCATAAAATCCAAGATATACGCAAGAACCGCAGCCACAAAGCTTATTTCTTAGCCGGACCCTTGGCTGGGGCCTTAGCCGGTGCCTTGGCCGATCCCTTAGCCTTCTTCGGATTGGCCTTATTCTTCAGGATCTGTGCTCTCCTCCTGGCCTGCAACTTGGCCGATCTGATCACCGCGCTCTCCGGAGACAAAGTAATCTTAAAAGAAAATAATCAAAAAAATAGAACAACATAAATCGATACGCTGCAAATTAAAAAAAAAAAATAGAATAATTATTACTTACTCCACGTTTTTTGGCCAACTGCTCGTCCCTCACCAACTGCCTCTTTTCGGCTGTCAAAATAGCCTGACGTTTAAGAACGGCAGCGTACGGATTCAACTTCAATAGGGCTCTGGTATTGTTGAGTGGATTAAGACGACGTACGCGACGAACAACCTTCTTCCTGTTTGAAAAAAAAAAAGGAAATATTGAAAACGTCCCCGATTTGATTCGATGTTATTTTTATGCAATTCAAACGTCAGATGTCAACAGGTAATCATGGAATTATTTTCATAACCCAATGCTCTAAATTTGTTTCATCATGAAAAACTTAGATTACTAAAGATATTAACCATTTTTGAGAATGAGGATTTAAGATAGGATTTTTACGTTTCCGGCACATTGTTTCGTACAAATCTCCCTAACTTTGTTGCAGCAGAATTTGAATTTTCATTATTTTTTATTTATTTGCGGTTGAAAACTATTATTTTGTCTATAGAATGTTTTGATCTAATTATAATACTTGCAAAGCATTTTTTTCATTCTTGACAAAATTAATTTTTTTTTTTTAGATGTACCTAAATCTTATTTTAATAAATTGTGGACTAATATTTTAACTTACTAAAGTAAATTATCACTAAACTGGTAAATAAACAAATCACAATTTAAAACTATAAATAAAAATAGTAATTAGTAGTTTGACATTTCGTTGCATAAATAAGACGGCACAATAAGGGGGATGGTTTCACCGTATAGTCCAATCAATAGGTAGAATAGCTTACAAAAAATATAGTGATATAGGAAAAAAAATTCTAAGAAAGATAGTGTACATATTTCCTGTGGCGCATAAACGGCGATGTTAACCTAAAAAATTCATAAAATTAAAAAAAAACGTTTTTTTTGCTAATAAAAAAACGAACTCCAATCGTAAAAAGTTAAAGGGGAAAGTTGTAACTATTAAAAAAACCTATCAATTCGTATTTTTAACTATATTGATTGCTGAATGATTGATTGATTGAAAAACCGTCAAAAATCGACTTTCTGTTTTTGCAGTATCTCTTGCAAATTAAGGTTTGTTACTTGCTGTAAATGTGCATTAGTAAGTAACAAGTTTCAAATTTTGCAAAAGATACAGCATAAAACAAAAAAGGTCGATTTTTTACGGTTTCTTTGATATATCTCGAAAAGTAATGTAGCAATCAATATATTTAAAAATACGAATCGATAGGTTTTTTTTAATAGTTACAACATTCTCATTTAACTTTTATCGATTAAAGTTCGAGTTTTTTTTATTAGCAAAAACCCGTTTTTTTGACTTTTATGAATTTTTTAGGTTAACTTCGCTGTTTATGCGCAACAGGAAAAAAAATGTCTCTTAAAAATTTTTTTCCTATATCACTATATTTTTAGTAGTAGTTTAGTACTTTATACCGGGTGTTTCAGAGTTGAAATGACAAAAGCCTAGGGGAGATTCCACTCAGCAAAATACATAACAAAGTTCATATAAACCTTTGTCCGCAAGTGTTTCGTTTTTGAGACGCTTTATCTGATTTGAATTAAATTTTTACGGTTTATTAAAACAATTATCATACCTCAACTGGACCAATTAAATTTGATCCAGAATTTTCAGAGGCATACCTAGTGAGCAAGTAGTTTTTTTTATATAGAAAATACAGTTGAACTCGCTTATAACGAGCAGGGGATATAACGAGCACTTGGTTATAACGAGCAAATTGAAATGTCCCTTCCGAATTCCCTATGTAACACGTGTATTTTTGTTCGGCTATAACGAACTCGTATATAACGAGGGCTTGGCTATTACGAGCTTTGATTTTGGTCCCGCGCAACAGTGATCTCGGCTATAACGAGTTATCGTAGAACCAGTTTATACGCACATGACATCAAATGAACGCAAAAAATTGTTATGACTAGTAGAAATAACAACATATCCGATTTTGACGTCTTTGACTTAGTTCAGTACGACATGGTAGACGAAAATCTCGAAGTGGCTGAATTCCCAAATGAAATTCAAATCACACAATTAGCGATTAACCCATCAATAGATGAAGAAAGTGATGAAGAAGAGACGGGAAGCGATGAGGTTACAGTTCCTTCGACACATGAAGCCGTCTCTGCGTTAAAAACCATAGTATCATACGTCGAATTCAAATATCCGGAAAACGAGCAGTTCTTAAATGCCGCTGATCGTTTGCAAAGAAATATCAGTCAGGAGATATTAAGCAAAAGAGTGGTGCAGAAAAATATTACAGAATTTTTTCGTTAATAATAAATGCTATGTAATTGTAATTATGTAGATAAATAATATTATATGTTTGGAAATAAAAATACGAGTGCAATGCAGCTATAATTATGTGTCCAATAATTTTCAGCATAGTTGGCGACGGCGACGTCTATAACGAGCACTCGCGTATAACGAGCAAATTTTGCGTTCCCGTGAATGCTCGCTATAACCGAGTTTTACTGTATCACCCTGTAGTTTTTGTAATATTCAAATAAACGCACTAAAAAAAGTACATTTGTTTCTCTTGACACTTTTTAGTGTCTCGCTTCGTTTTCAAGACCTTGGCATGTCTCTGAACTCCATAAGGAAAAATAACAATGCTTAGGAATTTATCCAAAAAAATATCACAGTGTTTCTTTATCAAAATATAAACAAAACATGAAGTGACATTGTCTCTAAAATGCACAACAAATTCCCTGTTTTCAGAAATACATTTTATTAAATTAATCAGTAGCAATAAAATTACAACGAACGTTCAAACTGACAACCTCCTGCTTCGAAGCGAGACACTATAAAGAGTCAAAAGACATAAATATACTATTTTTAGTGGGTTTATCTGAATATTACATAAAAACTGCAAAAAGAACTACAGGGTGATAAAAAATTGACTTGCTCGCTGGGTACGTCCCTGAAAATTCTGGATTAAATCTAATTGGTGCAGTTGTTGTATGTTAATTGTTTTAATAAACCATAAAAATTTCATTCAAATCGGCTAAAGCATTTTTTTTTAAATACGCAATTAAAAAAAAATTTACACATTGTACCTCGGAAACAAAGCAATTATAGCCCCAAGTTCATATGAACTTTTTTACATATTTTGCTGAACGGAATCTCCTCTAGATTTTTGTCACTTCAACTTTGAAACGCCCTGTATATTCATTCGAAATTTTGAAATGAACATTTTCGAGGATATTACAAAAGTTGCCAAAAGTAATTAAAACAAAGTCAAAAAAAAAACAGGCTAAAACAGATAGATTCTCGAAACGTTAACAACTTTTTTAAAGTGTGCGATGTAGTTATTTTTTTTTTTTTTGTATTTTGTATGTCTGCTTTTTTTCAGTGTGATATTTTTTGGTACATTTCATTAATATTTTAATTTTTTCACGAGTGGCAAAATACCCAAAAAATGTTAGTTTATCATATTTTAAGAGCCCTCTCAAAAAATCAGCTTAAAAAATTTTTTTAGAGAACGCCCAAGATTTTTAAGAATTTCCAAAATCGTCAAAAATTGAATTTTTTAAATTTTTTTTCTCATTATTTTATCATTTTCTAGGTTGAAAAAAAATCTCAATTCTGAAAATTTCAAATCGATATTTTAATTTCTAAAGGTCACTCATAATTATTTTAACTTTAAAAATAGTGTACTTAAAATGTTTTCGAGCCACCTCTAAAAATAAATATCAACGAACTAATAATTTTTTTTTTTTTTGAATTTGACGAACAAAAGAATAGAACTAAATCATGAAACACTTAAATTTTAAAAAATTAAAAAATTATGAATATCTGATACAGTGCGGTAATAAATTTTGCCTCAAGAAATTTTTTAAGTGTCTCGTGATTTATTTCTATTCTTTTGTTCATCAAATTCAATAAAAAAAAATTATTAGTTCATTGATATTTATTTTTAGAGGTCACTCGAAAACATTTTAAGTACACTACTGTGAAAATTAAAATAATTATGAGTGACCTTTAGAAATTAAAATATCGATTTGAAATTTTCAGAATCGAGATTTTTTTCAACCTAGAAAATCATAAAATAACGAGAAAAAAAATTAAAAAAAAATAAATTTTTGGCGATTTTGGAAATTTTTTTGAGCTGATTTTTTGAAAGGACTCTTAAAACATAATAAACCAACATATTTTCACAAGACACGAACAAAATATTCGTTTTTTTTTGACCATCCTAGTGAAGATATTTTTCTAAGAATTAACACATTTTCGAAATTTTTATATTAGTGAATTTTGACATTTTTTTAACCAAAAGGAACATCAAAGGCAACATCAAAAATTAAATTTTTCATTCCTTTGCATCATAATAAGACAGTTTTTCAAATGCTCTTTAAATGAAGATTTTCAAAAATTATCCTCAGAATAGGAAAAACCTAGAACCTTTCGAGAATATTACAAAAATATTGAATTCACTAAAAATTTTTACAACAAAACAAGGCACTGTAAAAAACTACATTGTTCGTTTCTCCGCATTATAATTTTTCAAATTCTCGGTAAATGAAAATTTTTAAGAATTTTTCTGGAAATACAAAAAATCCGCAATATCTTCTCAAAAATGTTACAAAAACAAGGTAATGCCAAAAATTACTCGTGTCATTTATCCACATTATAATTTCTCAAGACAATTTGTTTAATTCTCACTAAATGAAGATATTTTAGGATTTTTGTTGAGAATAATGTTTAAAAACAAATTTTGTAAATTTTTGCGACAAAAAGAGAAAAAACAAAACATGGGAATGCTAAATATTACATATTTCATTCATCTGCATTTGAATTTCTCAAGAAAATTTTTCAAATTCTCTGTAAATCAAGATTATTAAAGATGAGATTAGTTTTGTAAAACCCGTAGTACATTTTTGAGAATACCCCAAAAATACGGTGAATTTGCTAGAATTTTGCAAATTTTTAAACCAAAATGAATCAAAACAAAAAATGACATTAACGGCGATTTTTTAAATTCTCAAGAATTCCCTCCGAGAATAAATTCTCGAGAATTTCCCACCATTAAAAACTACTGCCATCGATACTTACTGTGGACGACGTAGCACGGCTTTGATCTCGTCAGCCTTCAACAATCTGGACAGGTCCGTGTTGGACATTTTAGGTTGGGGTAAATTATACCCCTTCTTCTCGAGGGATGGAGTCTTCCAACTGCCGAACAGTTTGTCCAATCTCTGGAAAGCCGACTCGGTCCAAATGACGAAACGCCCTACGTGACCGCCAGGGGCGAGCTTCAGAAGGTTGAGCTTTTCAACGCTCAATAGGTCGATGCCGGGGATGTTGCGGAAAGCACGGCGCAGACCTTGACACAATACAATAATCAACGTATGACAAATTTTATTTAATTTATAGAATTTACATTAATAGGGACCAAATTTTGTAGGAATATTAACATGTAATATATATTTTTTTAATTTAATAAATGGCCGAGTTATACGTCATTTTTTAAATTGCAGTTAAACTTTTGTCTACGCCGTTACTGGGCTGGCCCAGTTTGATGAAATGTTATTGTTGCCTTTTTAAACCTGAGAGCAAAACTATAATAGAAATTAATTTTTTAAAAACAAATTGCCTTTGTATGACCGACATATTTTCAAAGTTGACATATGCCAATGCAAATGAAATGCTGGAAATTGAAAAAATTTTTGAGTGTTAAAAATGTTAAAATTTAATTTGTATGCTAAAATAAATATTTTTGGTTCCAAAAAAATACAATATAAATAAAAACAGTATAATCCAATAGATTTGCAATATTTTTTTAAATATTTCAAGTTATTAACAAAAAGCATCCTGATGGGATATGACAACAGGGCGTTTAGTGGATAAAAAACATACAGCCAACGTTAATTCAGGGAAATAAATTGGAGAAATATGTCGCTGCTTTATTTTAGTTTCCTGTTTAATGGTTACTGAGTGTTTGTAACAGGCTTGGTAATTTCTCGACTTTGTTTAGTTTTTACTGGAATTGAAATGTTGTTTTACTAAATTTCATTTTATAGAAAAATTTAAAGTGGCATTTGGTGGTGTGGTGTGTTTGTGTATCCTCATTGTTAAATCTGTGTGCTGTTATGAACAAAACATGTTTATGAATCAAGAAATCAAAGGAAATCTAGCAATCAGGTATAAAAATTATGAAAAAAAGGTTAAAAAGAAAACTCATGATGCAACTTGAGAAAACCTTGTTTCTAAAGGTCAAAGGTACCTCCATATAAAGGAGGAGAGCCCCTAAGGCCGGTTTTTGGCCTAATTTATTTTTGGCTGAAAAAATCTGAAAAAAATTTTTTTAGTACCTACTACCCTAAACGGACCAACCCCCTCAACCCTCCTTTCCCCCTCGACCCCCTTAAATGCCGGGAAAACCATCGCTTATTAGAGGAATCTTTAAAGAGCTTGGAGAAGCGAAAGAGATTCAATTCCTTTGAATCTCACATATGAAGAGTTTTTTGGGTCGCTGATCACGAATCTGGTCTCAAAATCTCGAAATTCAAAATGGCGGATGCAATATGGCGGAAAATAAAATTAAAATGTCTTCAAAATCCACGAATTTTTGTGTTGGGGGTTTTTGTCTTTGGGAATCCCATTTGGCGAGTATAAAAAATTGAAATGTCTTCAAAATGCACAAATTGTGTCGAGGGGTTTTTTGGGTCACTAATTACGATTCTGAAGTCAACATATACATACGCATTGATATAATTGTTATCTTTTTCTTTTTTACTTTAGTACTACACAAAAATTCATGCATTTTAAAGACATTTTAATTTTTTTGTCCGCCATATTGAATCAGCCATTTTGAATTTCGTGATTTAGAGTCCCAATTTGTAAGCATAGCCCCAAAAACCCCACATTACAAAGAAATCCATGCATTTTGAAGAAATTTCAATTTTCTTGTCCGCCATATTGGATCCGCCATTTTGAACTTCCTGATGAGACCAGAATCGTGATCAGTGACCAAAAAAATTCTTCATATGTAAGATTCATAGGAATTGAATGTGTTTCACATCTCTAAGCTCTTTAAAGATTCCTCTAAGCGATGGTTTCTTCGGCATTTAAGGGGGAGGAGGGGGAAAGGAGGGTGAGGAAAACAATTCAGTATTGCCTGTAGGCAAAAAAAAAAATTTTCAGACTTTTTCAGCCAAAAACCGGCCTTAGGGGGTCTCCTCCTTTGGCCATAATTCAAAGTTACACTCTACGTATAGAGTGGTTCATGTAGAATTATCATCGGACATTTTTTTAGTGTAAAAGTTACTCGTTATTTTACATTCGCAGAAACTTTTCAAAGTGATTTTTCAGCATTACCCTTAAATTTGAAGCAAAACGTCTCCTACAAAGAAATTTTTCAAATTCAATGACTGAGATATCACACGTTCGAGTTAAAAATATTCAAAGATGGAATGATTTTCAAGATTTGAAAGTAGTAAAATTTCTATACATTCATCATTTGTATAAAATTTAAAATTAAACAACTTTTTATTACCATGTTATGGAGAAGCGAACAGTTTACACAAATCACCCTGTATATTATCCTATTTATAGATATTTTAAAAAACCACAAAACAACTCTTGATTTCACTCACCTTGATCCTTGTGGTAAATGACCAAGGGTCCTCTACGTTGGATGCGTCTTCTATTACGCATCTTACCTTTACCGGCACGGAACCGTTGACTTTTGTAGACCTACAAATGACAATACCATTCTAAAGAGAAAAATGACGGAGGTTCGTTATTGATCGGGGATTACATTAATTATCTCAGCGCTTTTGAAAATAAAAATCATTGTTCTTCATAAACACGGACCAAAAGCAAATCATCACTGAAGTTCGAAAAATATCATTAATGCATTCTATATTACACAAGGGCCCAAGGTAAAAACCCTGAGAAACCTCAAATGTAAAAATACAGCACGATCTACACGAATGATTTTTTTACTGAAAATGTATTTCATGATGTACGTCATTACCTTCTGGATATCGGCCCATGCCTTGATCCTCCTCAAGAACTGCACGGCTTGCTTGGTCTTGTTAAACTCCTGCACCTTATCGGACACGACCAGAGGCAGCTCGGGGATCTGATCGATGACGTGTCCCTTGCTGAGGACAAGGGCCGGGATACCGCTGGCGGCGATGGCAGAAGCGAGAGCGTAGCGACGCTGATTGATGTTGACGCGTCTATGCCACCTACGCCAGGGCTTGGTCGGGGCGAACATACGTCCGCCACGACACATGTTGCCGAAAGCACCCTGACCGGAACGGTGGGTACCACCGCCGCGGACACGGGGAATACGGGCTACGGCACGGCCAGTACCCCAGGACTCGGCAGAGGTCTGGTGGCCTAAGGAGGGACGTCAGAATTATAACGGAATGATAAGCTGACAAAATTATTTTGATTTAAATAAATGTATGCAGTTAAAAGTTGAGTCTTTATTTATTGGATGGTGGCAAAACTGCCAAATAACGAAAAAAAATTAACACTGCCACAAATAAGTAACACCAGACACTATGAAAATCTAATTTAATTATTAAAAAAAATGTCTGATAAACACTGCCCTTTTCTAACATTGTAAAGTCAGAAAGGAACGCCTATAGTCATCAATATTATTTGGCACAATTATGGAACACCCAAACAAATGGAATTTGTAAAAATGTGGACATTATTTTGTGCCAAAACAACCAGTAACATGTACGTCCTAACTCCAAAATTTACTTTTCACACCGACAGTTATTCTCAATAAACAGATTTTAAAAAAATTGATATCTAAGTACTTAAATATAGTTAGTTAAAATATATATACATATTTAAGGTTCACCCTGTATATTTTCACTTACCAGCTTTGTCACTAACACTGTATGGCTGGCGATGGTTCATCGACACCTGCTGGTGGACAAAGTTTACGACATCGGGTCTGATGGGGGCCTTGAATACTGCTGGTAAAGCAACAGTTGTGCCCTTAACTTCCTCAGATTTCTCATTGTACACGCTTACTAAGGGGCGCGCCGCTGACAGCGACTAAATAAAAAGAGTTAATGTGTTTAAACATGGGTAGATGCCTAGTCACAATTAAATCTTATTTAATTACTATATCAGCGCTTTTGAAGGATATAATCACCAAGCTTCAGCAACACGGACCAAAAGCAAATCATCATACAGAAAACAATGAACTTTTATACAAAATATCTATCGATGTATTTAAACAACACACTTTCCGGAATGAGCGAACGTAAAAACTAAACCAAAAATTGTCAATTCCATATGAAATTTTAAGTAATACACGTGGTTAAAATTTCATCGTTTCTATTTACATACTTTACAAAATAATTACTTTCAATTTTCACCAAACATTTACAATTAAAAATGTTTTAACTATTTAAAGATAAAAACTTGTTCAATACGTACCATATTTTGTAATCCTTATAACTAATTCTTACTTTCGTACACACATCAAGCGAACGCAAAGTCCGCCATATAAAAGGAAGTAAATTTTATGTTGCTTTCATTTGGTTCCAAATGAGGCGCTCCAGTCCTTCCTGTATAACGCGAGCGGCAATTTTAAATGTTCACCTATTCAAAATTTTTTACTTTCACCATTGAATTTATAGAAACTCAAGGCTTTCACTTCGTAAAGAAATGTTGCATTAAAGTATTTTATAAAACGGAAGTCTAGTGAAAGATTTATACATCTGGTATGTGTTGATTTACTTTGTAGGTATGATGTATATGTTTATTCACATTATTCATTATTCCTTAAATATTCAAGTTTGAATTGTAATCCAAATATGGCATTATTGTAGCTGTACTCTAAAATTATTATTAACTGTAATTTGGTGTACATATGTTATACCATGTGAATCTTTTAAAATATTTTTTGATATTCTACAGATTACAGTACTTAATGTTAAAGACATATTATTGCGGGAATTCCTTCAGTATTCCTCGGGCATGTTATGTTTTTTATTTTTGTTAATAAAATAAAATGTGTAAAAATGTAGTTTGTGGTAATGTTCGGAATATGAAAAACCGTAAATAACTGGTGGAAAAACCCACATTTCTGAACCACCTCTTCCCAACTGTAAATTCCTTAAAATGGCGGCTGTCAGTGTTATTTAAAAGATTTTTTGACACGTTGGAGCCCTTAATTACTTTCAAGTGAAAATTTTTTAAAATGGGCCAAAAATTTCAATACGATGAAAGTGGAGGGACATTTTTCTATTTCTTATTATCATTTCTAGCTTTAATTTTAATACCAGCAACATTTTATTATTGGCCACGAAAGAAGAAGAGAGGTAAGAAAATATTTTTTCTAACGGTACGAGACATTTTACTGTAGTTTGATAAAATAATACTTTCGTGCATTTATCGGAGTTTTTCTTAAAGTGGTTTACAGTCCCCATTCAAGAGATTTTTTTAACATAATCATTATTTTGAAACAGATTTAGGTTAAGTTTGGATGTGTTGAATTTGGTTATTTTAAACAACACGTCAGCCATATGTTCATGACTATAAATTCAGCCATCGTACGAAACGACTAGAAAATTCTATATATGGTATTCTATAGCTGGTAATAAATTTTTGCTTGCAGATCCCCAAGAAGAAAGTAAAGAATGCAAATGTCCGGGATGTATCACAAAAAGAGAATATTTAAAAAATGCCAAGCCCTGGAAAGGGCCAAAGAACTTTCTGATAAAGTTAGTCATAATAGCCGGTTGGGTAATTTTAATTCTACTCGCCTACAAAGTCTCACAGTTCGATTACGAAATGGCTAATTTCGATCCATATGAAATACTAGGAATTCCCGTAGGTGCTAGCAACAGTGAAATTAAGAAGGCTTACAGAAAGCTCTCGCTTATTCTGCATCCTGATAAGGACACAGGAAATGAAAAGGAGTTTATGAAATTATCGAAAGCCTATCAAGTAATGATCTTAAAACATATATTAATAGTTTATGTGTAATATATCATGGTTTTAGGCTTTAACGGATGAAGAAGCGAGGAGAAACTGGGAGAAATACGGCAATCCAGATGGTCCCGGTGCCATGAGTTTCGGTATAGCTTTGCCGTCCTGGATTGTAGAAAAAGAAAACAGCGTTTGGGTGCTTGGTTTGTATGCTCTTGTCTTTATGGTCGCCCTTCCCATTGTGGTAAGTAAACATAGTTAGTTATTTATTTGAAATATTTGTCCAATTGTGTTTCATTCTCAGGTTGGTACTTGGTGGTATAGAAGTATCAAATTCACTAGCGATCAGGTGCTTTTAGAGACGACGCAGCTTTATTACTATTTCTTCCACAAGACTTCTAACATGACCCTGAAGAGGGTCATAATGATCTTAGGTGCCAGTCTCGAATTCGACAAAAAGCATAACTCCGAAATAGTGGAGCAGCAGTCCGATAACGTCGAATTTCCGCAAGTAAGATATTATTTAAAAAAAGGTCAATTTTCTTTTGTAACCTATTTGTTTGTAGCTGATCAAAAAGTTGCCAAACCTCAACGAGAAGAACAAGGAGTTCCCCTTGGGCTGCATGTACAGTATTAAAGCTCGTGCAATAATTCATGCACATTTGAGCAGGATTCCCCTTAATCCCGAAACGTTGGAGCAGAACCGGAGGTACATTATTGGAAAGTGTCCGTTCTTGATTCACGAACAGGTCAACTGCGTGAATCAGATCATCCTGCTGGCATATTCCAGGCGAGGTAAGTAAAACTGCAAATATGATGTTTTTTTTCTTGATGTACTTTATATACCCTGTCATTTTCCCTAATATCAGGCATTCTATGAGTGGACTTGAATTTGGACGGCTTTTTTACTTGTTGATAAACGATTTTATCATACATTGATTTCTTCACAGTCTCCAACCATTGAATCGAAATTACTGATACTTCGTTCAAATTTTATTGTAGTTCCGAGACTGCCCAGCATCGAAACTGTAGAGAATTGCATGAAATTGTGCCCGATGGTGGTCCAGGGCCTGTGGGAGTTCAAGTCGCCCCTGCTGCAGCTGCCTTACATAAACGACGACAACATGAAACATTTCATGTCGAAACGGAGGCAGATCAAGTCCCTGCAGCAATTCGCCCAACTCAAAGGCGAAGAACGTAGGAACTTGTTGAGGAATTTGTCCGATGAGGAGTACGAGAACGTCATGAAGGTGCTCGGGAGGATGCCTTACGTCGATTTCCAGATTCAAGTGGAAGGTAAAGTAGCGGAAACCTGCGGTATTGAGGCGTAATAACTGAATTTTATAGTGATGGACGACGACAACCCGACTGAAGTCACCGCCGGTGCCATCGTGACGGTTACGGTAACCTTAATGAGGCAAGACATGAGCATCCTGTTTGGAGATGAGACCGTTAAGGAGGCTCCGGTGATTGCGGAGAACGGGGTGGAAGAACCCAAGGAAGGTGCGGCAGAACCCGAGATTGAGTCTGTTAAGAGACCCGTGTGGCTTAAACAGAAACGAGGTAAGGCGTAACAACTTTACGACGAAAAGTTTTGTTTTAATACAATTTTTTTGTAGGTGGCGGGAAGAAAACGAAGAAATCCAGCAAGCAAGTCACTAAACCGGTCGTCAACGCGACGAAACCGAAGGCCGAGGAGTCGCCTAACCCGTCTGAGAATAAAAAGGAGAAGGAAAAACAAGAAAAACCCAAAGTGAAGGAAGCAAAGGATGAAGACGAGACGGATAAATCCGATGAAAGCGACGCGGACACCAACGAGAACAATGATAAGTCCTCGGACGAGAGCGTTGTAAATAATAATAAGTTCAATAACGAGGATGACGATCAGGTACCACACGCATTATTTGATAACTCGTCAAGTTATCATTTGTTTATTTTAGGAGTGGGAGAAATTCCGTAAGATCCACGACAGGGAGAAATCGCTGGAAGGAAAGTCGACGTCGTCTCATACCGTTCACTGTCCGCTATTCCCGTACGACAAGCAGGAATACTGGTGGACATACATTTGCGACAGGAAGTCCAGGACGCTCCTCACGGCACCCTATCACGTCACGAGTCTTGTTGAAAGGGAAACTATTCATCTGAAGGTAAGTGCACACTAAACGGTGATTTATTTGAATACAGCGGAAAAAAAAATTACAAATGTTTATGTTGAACCTGAACATGACTATTATCCTTGTCGATCTAAAGAACATTTCGTATAAACTGTAATAGCAATGAGTAATATCTATAATTAATGTCACAATAGTCTTGAGGATTAGAAGTTGCCATTGTTACATTTTTTGCATCAAAACTTGTCCAACCATTTGCGTAACACGTTATAATTACATGACACAATAGTCTCGAGGAGTATACGTTACCATTGTTACACTTTTGCATCAAAATCTAGTCACACACATTTGCACATATTACGTCACAATCTTGAGGGGTAAAAGTTACCATTGTTACAATTTTTATACGATGATACGAAATTGCTTTGCTGGTGCTTCCAAGCCTTGCACGTTGAATTTCCCTGGTCAAGAAATTACAGAAAATTCATTAAATTTGTCGTTTTAAATCCTATGAATTTTATTTTTTTAAACAATTCGATCCTATCGAGTTATTCTTTAGAACTCTATCGATTGTCGACATGGGTTCAATATATTTTCAAGTTAACCTTGGTTTGACCTTGTAAATTGAGACGAAGGTCAAATCCAAGGTCACCATTTAATTTGCCCTTCAAAACCCTACAAACATTGCTTGGAAACATTTTTCTCCACAATTCGATCTTGTCAAGTCATTGGGAGAAAAATTACTCCAAATGACCCTCAGGGACCTGCCAGAAAAATATTCTTACCCTTGCTCGGACTTAAAATTTGACTTTCCATCGGCAAATGGGGTGTTAAATACAGGGTGATTCAGAACTTATCCCAAAAAAAAAACTTACAAATACAATTTTGCAAAGAAAAAGCCAAAAAGGGTAGTTCGAAAGTGATTTAAAAGTACACTTCTGCACGGCACTGGAAACTGGCCTATCTGACCTCGCACAACGCGACCGGCATGGCGGTAAAGTGTGATAAAAACAGACAAAAACTTGAAACAATTTTGCAAGGAAAGGAATAAATAGAATTTTATAACACCCATTTTATGTCAGCAAATTCAACTCCTTTTGCCGCCATTGTTATTAATTAAAAAAATTAATTTGCGGTTATGATTAATAAAATAATTTGATATACCTGATGTTATAACAACTGTGCAAAATTTTGTCCACCGACGGGTACACACATTTGGCACCGCACCATCTTAATCAATTTCTACGAACTAACACAAATGTTGTCCTATTTCACCATAATACAAAATGTTGCTTCACCATAAATTAAAACGATACCCATCAACTCGGAGTTGCTATACATGCAAGCCATTTTTGACACTAACTACATACTAAAAAACTATTGTAAACACTATCGCAACGACGATTGTAAAATCGGATTTCAGTACTCGGAGTGGCTGAGACCATGTGGCTGTCCACATACAGGGTCGGAAAGTCCCCATGGTTCATCGGCCGTTACGTGAGAGCGATAAAGAAAGTCATAGAAATCTGTGCGATAGAGAAATCCCACAAATAAGATCCACTTCTTATTTGTGGAAGGGCGAAATGGGCGGTGACTATGAGACGCCTTCATTATAGCCATCCTTCTCTATCGCACGGACTTCTATGACTTGCTTTATCACTCTCACGTAACGGCCGATGAACCATGGAGACTTTCCGACCCTGTATACTATGAATGACGCTAAAGACTACAGTTGTCCAGCGATGTAATGCTTAAAAATACTATAACTTCAATATTTTTTCTTCATAAACTAAGGATTTTACAAAAAATTTTTTTACGATATTAACTCCATTTCTCATGCCGCATCTTTTCCCGAATTTTTTTGGATAAGTTGTAAATCACCCTGTATACATTTTCAAGGGGACCTTGAAAATTGAGTTGAAGGTCAAATCCGAGGTCACCATCTAATTTGTCGTTAAAAATCCTAGTAGTTTTGCTTGAAATACTGAATTTTGTTTCAGTTCACGGCGCCCAATTGGCCCGGAGTGTACACTTTTACAGTCTGTCTACGATCGGATTCCTACATAGGATTCGATCAACAAAAAGACATAAAGTTGGACGTCAAGGAGGCGCCCGCCGAGATCACGGAACACCCGCAGTGGGAATTCGAGGATTCAGAGGAAGAAGGCCCGGCGGAGAATAACGATCACGAATCCGAGTACACGACCGATGAAGACCTGCCGGAAGACTAAACTTTTGGTCACGTGTGAGAATCTATACTTATTTATTTAGTTTATTATTCGTTTTAACACTGAATCTACCAAAAAAATGATTCTCGACTTTACGAGAAGTGATTTTTTTTTAAATATATTATCGGGAATATTTATTTTGTAATTTACATTTTGTTTCTGGTAATCTTTAAATGTAAGAGTGAGAGCGGTTTTGCATTTGAATTATTATTGAATTTAGTAAAATAATTTTCTGTATGGTGCAAAAATTTTTTAGTTTTTTTTTCGAGTAATTATTTCTAAAGTCGGTAACCCTTAAGTGTAAGCGTAAACGAAAAAGATAATTTTCTCTTTGCTAATAATCAGGATTTGTGCATAAGTTTCTGGATAGGCATGACGAGAAGGGTTTTTGGGATATATTTGATGTAATTTATATTTGTATGAAAAAATAAATTCTTCAAATAAATTTGGTTTTTTATTGGCTGCCTTCTTTTTGAGAACCTAAAATACAGAGTGTGACTGAAATATTTGGCGAAACTCTAGACTCCAATGCTAAAATAGCAGACGGTGACTTATTCTCAATGTATAGACCCCTGCGACAGGTGAGGTGTAAGGAGAATGCAATTCCATGGGTACATCATATTGGAGGGTCCCGAAAATGATTAAATATAGAAAATGAATCCAATTTGGTAGAAACTAGATTGTTAAAAAATGTATTCACTTTGGTACTAAGTAGGTACTTTTTAAATAATACAGAGCCTTCTTAATGATTCGTTTACAATGAACAATGACAAACTGTTACATCTACACGAGATATTGCAATTGCTGATTGGTTGAATAAAATCTTGTCGAAAATTGCACCAATCACAAACCGGTGAAACAGAATGTCGTGTTTTAATTTTAATGTTATCTTGATCATATTGATTTAATTTTACCATTTTTACATCGCTGGGCTACTGTAGCCTCTAGTGTCATTTGTGTTGAGCAATGCACTCTCGCTCCACATGGGCCCAGGCGATTCCAAATACTGACATCCGATTTTAGTAGTAACGTTTTTGCGATAGTGTTTACATTAGTTTTCAAATGTCAAAAATGGCTTACATGTATAGTAATTGGGAGTTGATTGACATCGTTTTAATTTATGATGAAGCAAGATAACATTTGTGTTATGGTGAAGCCAACATTTGTGTTAGTCCGTAGAAATTGGGTAAGACGGGCCCAAATGTATTAACATATCAGTGGACAAAATTTTGAACAGTTGCTGTAACATATCAGGTACGTTAAATTATTTTATTAATTAAAACCACAAATTAATTTTATTAATTAATAACAATAGCGGTAATCTGTTGAATTTGCTGATATAAAATAAGTGTTATACAGGGTGTGTAGCGGTGAAGGCCCATTAGAATTATTTCAGAGACTACTTCGATTTGAATTTTGAAAATTTGGGATACCGGGTTTTCGAGCATACTCTTCTCAACTAAAATAATGGCGTCCGCGTACCACTTCCGGTTATACTGAAAGTCGCCATCAACTTGCTTATTTTAAATGGAACATCCTATATATTATTGCAATTTTGGTTTCTACGTGTTATTTTGGGTGGACTTTTATGAAATATTCCTTTTTCTAAAATTAATCATTTTCGAAATATTAAAATCTACATCTTTTAATATTTTTTTTATTTTCTTAGATATTGGGAGGAAAAACACGAAAATACAAGTTTCTAATCAATAAATAGTTTTTATTCATTTACCGATAGAAACAGACAAAATATAGAATAAAAGAATGATAAATATCATTAAATATAAAAGATTAATAGTTCCTTAACAAAACCTACCATACTAATGCAGCATCTGTAAGCATGACAGACATATGTATCTAACTACATATCACATTTTCCAGAATCAGGACATCTAACCATTTCAAAATTCGCCGTAAACAATTCAAAACATTCAAAAACATATCGCGACTTAATCGTTTTACTATAAATTTGTTTTTTCAGAAGCAAATTTATACCAACATCCCGTATATTGTAAATTGAAAACATATGATGTGTTTTGGCACTAATTTATAATAACACATGTTGCAATCAAACAAGGCATAAGCTAAACTTTATCTGGTAAAAGAACTTTTCGAAATAGGAAAGTTCTGTAAGCTAGAAAATGCTTCGTTTTTGAGATACAGGGTGATCAAGTTGAAATTTCTGAAAATGGCTTATTGTTTAATTGAAAACCCCTAAAGATAAACGAAAATTAGGGGGCAGAGGTGAAATTTTTCTCCAACTTTCTTGGCCTGACAGTTTTTCACTTTTTGCGGGGTAAAGCGACTGGAATTTTGAAAAAATCGATTTTTGAATAAAGTTGCAGTTTTTTTTTGAGGGGGAGCGTACCAGACGCAAAGTGCTGAAGGAATGCTTATTGTAACTCGTGAGAACACGCGCGATAGCTGTTATAAATAGAAGTCAGAATCTCGGATCGAGCTGAATAGTGGATGAAAAAAAATAACAATATAGAAGGCCAATTATATAGTGCAGGCATCGCTGACTGAAGGAATATTTGTAACGAATTTCTTATGCTGAATGGCAATAAAAATTTTAATACTGTTTTTCTAGAAACCACTTTTTTAAGTGACTGGAAACTTAACTCGTAAAGTTTTCAATGACATGAAATTTTGTAGAGGTTCACAATAATATAATTCAAGAAACATCGTAGAGGTTTTTCAATTGATTAACAATTATTAAAAATTGAATTAACATTTTTTTATTTCCCTACGATGTTCCCTAGCTCTTAGTGTACAGAGTGTTCCTAAATAATTGTCACAAAGGAAAACTGTAAATTCTTGAAAATGCAAACATTATTTTGCTCTTCCATTTTTCTCTCCGGGCTTTCGTTTTTTTTTAGTTTTTTGCCAATGTCTTAGGAACCGTTTGAACTACAGGACTGAGTTTTTGTACATGCATTACCACTATTAATAGTTACTTTTTCGCATCCTTCTCGAATTCACTGGACGTGACGGTGGTGGAGATTTTAAGGTATCGTAAGGGTTTTTCACCCTTAACTTTTACGCCACTGGAAAAAATTGACATTTGACAGCAAATATTCTGAAGCGCCAATGAATTTTACACAAAAAGAGGTTCATTGCTCTAACCGTTTTCAAGAAAAATGACTTTTTATGAACAAAAGCAAAAATTTGCTAACGTTTCGAAAATCTTTTGTAATTCAAAAAATAGGTAGTAATAATTAACAATTTTTAACGAAATTTAACAACAGTTTTTGTAGATTTTAATCGCTAAAGTGATAAAAAATTATTTTTAAGTTTTTTTAAGTTAAAATCCTATCTGTTGTTAAATTTTGTTAAAATTGTTAATTATTACTACCTATTTTTTGAATTATAAAATATTTTCAAAATGTTAGCAAAATATTTGTTTCTGTTCATAGTAATTTTTCCTGAAAACGGTTGACTTTAGAGCAATGAACCAAGAGAACTCTTTTTGTCTAAAATTCATTGGCGCTTTAGAATTTGCTGTCAAATCTAAATTTTTCCAGTGGCGTAAAAGTTATGATACCTTAAAATCTCCACCACGTCCAATGAATTCGAGAAGGATGCGAAAAAGTAGCTATTAATTGTGGTAATGTTTGTACAAAAGCTCAGTAGTTCAAACGGTTCCTAAGACTGGCAAAAAACTAAACAAAAAATTGACACCGTGTATCTCGAAAAGGAAAGCCCGGAGAGAAAAATGGAAGAGGAAAATATGTTTCTATTTTCAAGACCAATTTACAGTTCTACGTTGCGACACTTATTTAGGAACACCCTGTATATCAGAAAATTTTTGTTTGTTCCCAGACTATTCGTTAATAAGAAACTGTTTTTTCCAACTTTTGGAGTGGCGTTACCCCCTAAGTCCAGAACTTTAAAATTTAGACTTTTTTACACAAAAATTTTTAAACTTTTTTTATTTAAATTTGCCAATTTTCAAATATAAATGATTTAAAGTTTGTTAGTGGTTTAGACGAGATGAATAAAACTTGATCACATTATTTTTTATTACGCACGAGTGCTGGCATTTGTTTTTCGTTTTCGTGTAAAAAAATATCACAAATTTTAAGGTTCTCTTTTTAAATATGGGACAAAAAGTGCAACGTGTGGGGCAAAATTTGTCAAGGCACTCTCGTTTTACCCACATTTTAAACTTGATCACTCTGTAAGTTTCGAAGAAAAGTTGAAATAAACGATTAATTACCCTCATTCAGTGACGCAGCTGTACAAAGTGAAATAAACGAAATATCGAATCGCTGAAATAAATGCAAAAAACTGCGGATAAAAAAATTTCTAGCAATTCCACTCAGGTAGACGCCCTGAAATCCATTAAAATTACGAATATATACATAAAAACAGTAACAACACATCATGCTTACGTCGCATACAAAAAATAAAACTCCTCATACAGCACTAGCGTAAACAATTTCTACTATATTATAATGTACGTACAATTCATATGATACAGCGTTAAAATTACAACATTCCTAAGTCCTTCTCTTGGGCTTCAGATGCGTTCTGGCCTTCCCCGACGAAGAACCCGACCCAATACTGAACATACCTTGTGCCCCCGCCTGGGCAGCCCCGAACTGCGGAACGCTGGGCGCTCCGAACGGTGCAGGGCCGCTGCTCCCGAATGAAGGCGCCCCGCCACTACCGAAAGCTGGCACGGCCGTATTACCACCGGTGAAGTTAAAAGTGGGTTTGGGAACCTCGCCCGGGGCCCCCGCACCGAACGAAAACACACCCGGGGGCTTAGGCGGGGACGTAGCCCCGAAACTAAACACGGCATTCTGCGTATTTGGGGGATTCGTCGGTCCGAAACTCGACGCTTGCGGCTGGGCAGCGCCGAAACTATTACTCGTACCAAATGCGTTCGAGGCGGGAGCCCCGAAGGGGTTCGGAGTTGCCTGCGGCTTGGCGAATGCCGAAACTCCCGTACTGGCACCGAATCCGGGAGTATTACCAGTATTTCCAAAACCAGGAGTCGTGGTAGACGGGTTGAAAGGCGACACAGCGTTGTTTCCGAACGCCGGAGGAGCTGATGAAGCGTTGAACACAGAATTTTTATCTACGGCATTGAATCCGGTACTCGCAGTACCAAAACTGGGGGTGGTCGTAACACCAAAACTGCTGGGTTGAGTGCTTGTAGTGACGACTCCGAAAGCCGGAGTACCAGATGCCCCGAAAGCGTTACCGGTCCCGAAATTAGTAGGACCCCCAAACGAATTCGAAGCGCCAAAGGCGGGAGGCGCAGCGTTTCCAAATCCAGTACTAGCCGTTGTGGTCGTTCCGAATGAATTACTGCTGCCGAAAGAACTTGCTGTTGTTTTCGCGCCAAAATTAAACGCGGGAGTGTTACTACTCCCAAACGATGGTGTCGCAGTTGTATTAGTCGAAGTAGCAAAAGGCGAGGTTGTCACTGTTCCAAACATCGGCTTCGACACTGACGTCCCAAAGTTAGACGGCTGTGTATTTACCGGCCCCCCGAAAATATTAGCGTTATTCGAGGGCGGTCCGAAACCCCCACTTTTACTTCCAAAAACTGAAGAACTATTCGCCCCCCCGAAAACAGACGAGGAAGTCGTAGTGGTTGTCGCCCCGAAAGCATTGGCAGACACGAAAGAAACAGTAGTGGTGGGAGCTCCAAAAGTGGCTTGTGTCGTAGCTTGTCCGAACTGAGGAGCATTATTTTTACCGAAAAGCGGAGCGTTTGTTGTGGAAGCCGTTCCAAAAGCTGGCGGGGCACTGGTGGTGACCGCAAAAGGTGAAACCGTTTTGTTCACGTTGAACATGGGCGTAGCATTTGAACCAAAACCAGCATTCGAAGGGGTAGGAGCGCCAAAAGAGCCACTCAATGTCGAGGATGTGGTAACAGTCCCAAAACTGGGTGGCGGTAAGGGCGCCGAGGTATTCAAAAAATTACTAGTCGGAGTACCAAAACTGTTTGACGTTGACGACGGAGCTCCAAAGGTGACTGCAGAGGTTGTAGTTGCTGGTACCCCAAAGCCAGACGGAACAGAGGTAGGTTTCGAAGCTCCGAATGAGAAAAATGGTGCTTTCGAAGGACCAAATGCGGGAACAGAAGCAGCAGCAGGAGTGGACGTGTTTGTTCCGAAAGCTGGTACAGAAGTTGTAGTACTAGCAACACCAAATGTATTACTATGCGTGAGGGGAAACCCTGCCGAGACAACAGTTTTATTTTCACTACTAGCAGCCCCAAATGTAAAAGTCGGCGTGGCAGAGGTAGTTACCACTGCACCTAACGAAGACGAGGTAGTGGTGGTACCAAACGAGAGCCCCAAAGCAGAACTAGTAGCGGTTGTTGGGACTACAGCTTTCGCACCGAAACTAAATGCTTCTGGTTTAGTATTTTGCGTATTTGACGATGGAACAACGGCGCTTGCAAAATTAGAACTACTTTTACTTGCGGTTGGCTGAGGATTACTGCCGAAAGAAAACGTAGGAGCACTGCTAATAGTCGCAGTAGCAGAAGTACTGACAGGTTTTGATAAATCGAATTTAAAACCGCCTTTCTTGGGGGGACTCGTCGTGCTTGGAGCATTACCTGTCAAAGTCGTAGATGAAAAAATTAACTGAGCAGCTGGAGTCGAATTAGAAGTCGTGCTTAGCACCGGAGGGGCAGTTGTTGGGGGTTTAAATTGGAAATTGGGGATCGAGAAGCCGGTTTTAGGAGCCTCCGCCACAATGGAAGAAGTCGATGACTCTTTAGAAACTATAGAAGTGGCACTGCTCGAGTTACTTCCGCTGCCAAACGTGATAACGGGTAAAGCGTTCTCTGTGTCGCCTGAAGTCAACTGTAAACCGACCGGTGACGAAGGTGGTGCCGGCGTTTCCCGACTGGTCTTACTCGAAGACCCAAAAGTCAGTTTAGTTTCGCTGGCAGACGTCTCAGGGATTGCAACCGAAGTAGCAGGAAAACTCAGAACGGAGGTAGAACTTAAATTTGTTTCGGAAGTGCTCTCAGGGACGCTGAAGTGCACGTGTTTACTCGATTTCGTCGGCGATGACTTCTTAGGGGAAGCTAGGATCGACACTAGCGATTTCTCAGTGGATTTGAGAACTTCCGGAGGTGCCGAGTCGGGAACGTCTGGATTCTCTGCTTGAGAGTTTAATACGGTTGCGTAATCCGGTTTCGGCAACAACACAGGTTCTTTACCCGTCAAACTACCCATAAGGGCAGCCAGTCTGTTCTTTCTTATCCTTTCTAGGGGAGCGTCATCGAATATCTTTAAGGGGCTCTTCTTTTTACCGACGGATTCGTCACTGACTTCAGTTTTACCTTGGTCCTCTGCAGGCGGCTTAGTTTGTTCTGTGTTTTCAACAGTCTCGGTGGTCGCTGTCTGTGTTTCTACGTTTATTAGTTTGACTTGCTTGGATTCCTTCGGATTATCCGTCAGTGTACCTGAGAAAAAGTTTAAATATAGAATGGACATTTTCAAGTACAGATGATACTGCGGGAAGCAACTACTCCAAGAACAAATGCCCTAGCATGAAATTAGTAATACTTAGATAAATCGTTAGGATCATTCGTCATGACAATGAACATTAGAATTTAATCTCACGTTTGAATGAAATGAACCCAAGGCAGAAAACTGAAGAACCTAGTGGCGGCTTGTTAGAGGAGGCTGGGGAGTTTAAGCCTCCTCTGCAGTTTTTGATAGTATTGCAAAAGTTTTGTTTTTGTTTTTTTATTTTACATCATATAATTAATATTATTTAAGAAATCTATTTTCATATGCAACTCATTAGGTACCTACTAAAGGAGATCTCAAGTACGTAAATATACGATTTTTAAATGTTCACTATTTTTCGCACCCTCCGAATTTGCATTATAGTCGCTGGCAGCTAACTTTCTCAAGCTTCCAGCCATTACCAGTGTTCTATATGCTGCGTCACCTTGAAGGGATGCCACGATATCTACATTCAAGCTGCTTTAACCAGTCGAGGCTTGTTGCCACCTTCCATCTCTTTTTAACAAGAGAATCTTTCAATATAGTCCTTCTCTACCACCTTGATGATCGCAGTTGTATGTTGCAATGTTGTATTTCATAATAAAAATATTGGTCGTCTGTGAGTACTCGCGTTTTTGTTTTTAACTGGTGTTTATGTTAAGTTTTTATTAAGAATTTTTGAGAGCCAATCATAATTAATTAGTAAAACAATCATTTACATTTTACTCTGGTATGTACTTAAATTTATTAAAATAAAATGGGCGCAAAAAACGAATATAACCTCAACAACTTCTTTAGTTGCATGGACATTGTAGATTATTTATTATTAAAAGGATTTAGTACTCTCAGTTATGATGAAAAGCTCATAATTAAACAGAAATCGAGACCAACACCTTCTTTGCCGTCTTTGTGAAAAACAAATAGGGGATTTAACAATAATAATTACAGAAAAAACTCTCAGTAAATGCAACTAATGATCAAAACTCTACAACGCCTGCGAGCTTGGGAAAAATGAATTGAAAACAGCACCTTCTTAGATAACAAATTCCGCCAAACTAATGAAGCTTTCGGGCTGAAATTTTTACCACTTATTAAGGGTGCAAAGAGCTTCAAAAATCCCGAATTACAAGCGTCTGCGATAAAAATTGCATTAATTATTAGCAATTGAACTTTGACCATTGTTTAAATAAAGTTTCCCAACTAGTCCCAAGCTGGTTTTTTGATATTTTGTTTATAACACATTTTAGAACAATATTCCGCAGAGAATCTTCTAATAGTATTTTTTTCCTGAAACAGTCTGTTTCATTCTATAATGACTGGACTAATAGAACTGGAATTGATCCTTGATACAAATATTTTTTGTTGGAACTGGACTAGTTGGAACTGATCCATAAAATTCCTTGGATCAGCCATTCCTCAACAGAAAATATAGAACTCTAGGTATTAGTAAAATTCTCATCGACAATATAAAGAGACTTATAACAAAACACAGTAAACTCCCTTCCAGTGTGATTGATATTGGGATAAATGACGAATGATCCTTTGATTTAATTAAATCTATGAATGTTCACTGCTATTCAATGCCTCCAAATGGTTAAACTGACAGAGAGCGATCTGCTATTTCATGGGTACTGATTGTTCGCCGCAATATTAATATAAAAATTGTTTTGCCTAATAGCGACATACGTCTCGCTTTCATAGCATGTGCAGAACAACAGGTCACTATCTGCCAGTTTAGCTATTTGAAGATTTAGAATTTGCAATCTGTTCAGTCCCTGTGGAGATTCGAGCTAGAAAAGTTCCACAGTATTATCTTTTTATCCAAACTTTGACTTCTTTGAGGAACAAACATTTTCAGTTTTTGGTAAATCATTAATAGTCAACAGAGAAAATATTCAAAGAATAAGAAAAACATATAAAAAGTGATACAAAACTTTGACGTCTTTGAGGAATCTAAGGATTAACGAATTTTGATTCGTTTTTTCTTTGTGATTAAAAAGGACTTCATCACCGCATTTGAGAGAAAATTAAAATCTCGATAATTCCTTCCGCCCTAAGTTACATCTCATCTATTATCAAGTACAATTTAATTACTTACTGATGCTTATCGATTTGCGCTTTGGTTCAAGTGATTCTGCTTTCTTGAATGAAAAATCGGTAGAAGAACAAGACGCCGCATACTCGTCATACATGCAAACTCTCTTTGAAGTTGGCTTACTAGGACTCGGAGATTTATCCAAAGGAGAATCGTCGCGCAGCCTTTTATTAGAATCTCCATTGTTCATCGTCCTTAACCTTTTCCCGCTGTCCTCATTCAAATCATATTCCTTAAAGAATTATGTTTCAGTATAATTAATAAATAAATCATACCAAATTCTTACCTCGTTGGCATGTATTCTCTTCCTTGAAATCTCTTTTAAAGCATCTAATACACTTCTGGTGCTACTAGATTGATGGCTGGGAGAAAAAGGGCTTGCCCTAAACGTCGCTGAACTTGGTTTGACTATCCCCTCCAACAATTTCCGGTTGTATTCCTGAGAATGGTGCCTTGAGTACTCTAAAACAACAAAAAATAAGCAGTCTTATTCAACTACTATGAATTTACAATACCTGGTGAAGCTATCCTGATAGTAACTCTCTTAGGTCTCTGATCTAGTGTTGGTAATTTTTTCTTAAACAGATGAACCACGGGAAATAATCCCGGACTACCATACTTAGCTTGATGTGTCGGTGGTCTCGAATGTTCCCTTTCACGCTCCGTTTCTTCATTATACTGTACGATACGGCCTGCCAAACCCGGGCTCTTGGTGTCTTCGTAAGTACTGACGTTAACATTATACTTTGTAGATGCTAACAAGGGACCTGTGGTGACGACCCTTGTGAGGTCCCTCCTATTCTGTCTGGGAGGCGTTGCTATTTCCGATAGAGAATATCTGTCATAAAAAAACATAAAATACCTTATTTTGTTTATTACACTAATTGTAAAAGTATACAAAGCAAGAGAATAAATTAAATAATTACCTTCTGGGGCTTAATACATTGTGTTTTGGCGGAGTGGCAAAAATGCTTTCTCGCTTGACTAATGGTGTAGAGGTTATCTTAGGCTGAAGGAAACTTCTGGATATCCCATTAGCAGTCTCATTTATGTTAGTATATAAATCCTTGTTATTTGAACGTGGAGAATTATTAATATTTGTTGCATTAAACATTTTTTTCTCTGGCTAATGATATATACAACTTGCTCTAACCTTAAAAAATTATACTTCCTTAGTTTCTTGCTGTTTCGATTCTTTAAAGTTAGTGTATTCTGACAGTTGTAAATTGTAGTTTAAATTGCTTTAAAAACGCACGGCACTTAAAAATTATTTGGAACAAGCAAAATTATATACTACAATAATTTTCCACCACAACACGCCATTTCGAAATATTTGACTTTTTAACGACTTTGCCGATATAAAAAAGAGCATTCGTATCGACGTAAGCGTATTCGCTTCGCTATGGTTGCATGTCGATTTCAAGCGAATTTTGGCGTTTTTCTTGATTTCGCCATCACTTTTCAATGGCTTGGGTACCCTAGAGGAACTCGGAACTGTTCCATAGCATGTTAGAGTAGGCTCCACGTCTTGGAGTGACTACCCCTTTGTAACCCCAAAATATAAATGAGGTGTTTCGAAACAAAATTAGTAAATACTAAGTTCTATTACATATATCTTATCTATGATATTGAAACAAAATGGAAAATAAAGGTGTTGTGGATAGTAAAATCACTAATAGATGGTTATCTATAGTTGACTCTCATAATTTCAAGAGCTATCTAGGGGAGGGTCGTCTCCGCGTTTGACGCCGTGGAGCGTGATGATCTTGAAAATAAAATAGTGTATATTGATGATTCCTAACAACGATACTGCTGGAATTGTGGAGGCTCGATTTCACACACTGCTCTATTTAACCTTACATTATCAAGAAACCGCCGCCATTATTCTATGGCTAGAAATTGGCCTCAATGATTTGGGATCGAGGGGGATTATCCCTCTTTATCCTGCCTCATCTCGTGTAGGCCTGGACAGCCTTCGTAGGTGGGCCCCATCCGTCGTCTACCCCGACCGCAAATGCGGCCGGTGTAGGCGCTTTGTGGGACCTCCTTTTGTCCTGGCTGGGCCCCGCCGGCTAGGGCCCTTTCTTCTGGCGCTCTTCTTGCTTCGCCGGCTCGTCTGTGTAAACCCCGGGGGTAGTGTCATGTTTATGTGTGGTATGGTTGGGTAGGGTAGTGCGGCTATGCAGCCTGGGATGCGCTTTGCTAAGG